CAGAGGGTTTTCGAGAGATCTCTATGCCCTGGATTTTTATAAATCATATCACAGTCTAGATAAAACTTCAAAAAATGAAGTTGTGGTTAGGAATTAAGAGGAAAGTCAAAGGGTTTTCGAGAGATCTCTATGCCCTGGATTTTTATAAATCATATCTCAGTCTAGATAAAACTTCAAAAAATGAAGTTGTGGTTAGGAGTTAAGAGGAAAGTCAGAGGGTTTTCGAGAGATCTCTATGCCCTGGATTTTTATAAATAATATCTCAGTCTAGATAAAACTTCAAAAAATGAAGTTGTGGTTAGGAGTTAAGAGGAAAGTCAGAGGGTTTTCGAGAGATCTCTATGCCCTGGATTTTTATAAATAATATCAGTCTAGATAAAACTTCAAAAAATGAAGTTGTGGTTAGGAGTTAAGAGGAAAGTCAGAGGGTTTTCGAGAGATCTCTATGCCCTGGATTTTTATAAATAATATCACAGTCTAGATAAAACTTCAAAAAATGAAGTTGTGGTTAAGAGTTAAGAGGAAAGTCAGAGGGTTTTCGAGAGATCTCTATGCCCTGGATTTTTATAAATAATATCACAGTCTAGATAAAACTTCAAAAAATGAAGTTGTGGTTAAGAGTTAAGAGGAAAGTCAGAGGGTTTTCGAGAGATCTCTATGCCCTGGATTTTTATAAATAATATCAGTCTAGATAAAACTTCAAAAAATGAAGTTGTGGTTAAGAGTTAAGAGGAAAGTCAGAGGGTTTTCGAGAGATCTCTATGCCCTGGATTTTTATAAATAATATCAGTCTAGATAAAACTTCAAAAAATGAAGTTGTGGTTAAGAGTTAAGAGGAAAGTCAGAGGGTTTTCGAGAGATCTCTATGCCCTGGATTTTTATAAATAATATCACAAGTCTAGATAAAACTTCAAAAAATGAAGTTGTGGTTAAGAGTTAAGAGGAAAGTCAGAGGGTTTTCGAGAGATCTCTATGCCCTGGATTTTTATAAATAATATCACAGTCTAGATAAAACTTCAAAAAATGAAGTTGTGGTTAAGAGTTAAGAGGAAAGTCAGAGGGTTTTCGAGAGATCTCTATGCCCTGGATTTTTATAAATAATATCAGTCTAGATAAAACTTCAAAAAATGAAGTTGTGGTTAAGAGTTAAGAGGAAAGTCAGAGGGTTTTCGAGAGATCTCTATGCCCTGGATTTTTATAAATAATATCACAGTCTAGATAAAACTTCAAAAAATGAAGTTGTGGTTAGGAGTTAAGAGGAAAGTCAGAGGGTTTTCGAGAGATCTCTATGCCCTGGATTTTTATAAATAATATCAGTCTAGATAAAACTTCAAAAAATGAAGTTGTGGTTAGGAGTTAAGAGGAAAGTCAGAGGGTTTTCGAGAGATCTCTATGCCCTGGATTTTTATAAATAATATCAGTCTAGATAAAACTTCAAAAAATGAAGTTGTGGTTAAGAGTTAAGAGGAAAGTCAGAGGGTTTTCGAGAGATCTCTATGCCCTGGATTTTTATAAATAATATCAGTCTAGATAAAACTTCAAAAAATGAAGTTGTGGTTAAGAGTTAAGAGGAAAGTCAGAGGGTTTTCGAGAGATCTCTATGCCCTGGATTTTTATAAATAATATCACAAGTCTAGATAAAACTTCAAAAAATGAAGTTGTGGTTAAGAGTTAAGAGGAAAGTCAGAGGGTTTTCGAGAGATCTCTATGCCCTGGATTTTTATAAATAATATCAGTCTAGATAAAACTTCAAAAAATGAAGTTGTGGTTAAGAGTTAAGAGGAAAGTCAGAGGGTTTTCGAGAGATCTCTATGCCCTGGATTTTTATAAATAATATCAGTCTAGATAAAACTTCAAAAAATGAAGTTGTGGTTAAGAGTTAAGAGGAAAGTCAGAGGGTTTTCGAGAGATCTCTATGCCCTGGATTTTTATAAATAATATCAGTCTAGATAAAACTTCAAAAAATGAAGTTGTGGTTAAGAGTTAAGAGGAAAGTCAGAGGGTTTTCGAGAGATCTCTATGCCCTGGATTTTTATAAATAATATCAGTCTAGATAAAACTTCAAAAAATGAAGTTGTGGTTAAGAGTTAAGAGGAAAGTCAGAGGGTTTTCGAGAGATCTCTATGCCCTGGATTTTTATAAATAATATCAGTCTAGATAAAACTTCAAAAAATGAAGTTGTGGTTAAGAGTTAAGAGGAAAGTCAGAGGGTTTTCGAGAGATCTCTATGCCCTGGATTTTTATAAATAATATCAGTCTAGATAAAACTTCAAAAAATGAAGTTGTGGTTAAGAGTTAAGAGGAAAGTCAGAGGGTTTTCGAGAGATCTCTATGCCCTGGATTTTTATAAATAATATCAGTCTAGATAAAACTTCAAAAAATGAAGTTGTGGTTAAGAGTTAAGAGGAAAGTCAGAGGGTTTTCGAGAGATCTCTATGCCCTGGATTTTTATAAATAATATCAGTCTAGATAAAACTTCAAAAAATGAAGTTGTGGTTAGGAGTTAAGAGGAAAGTCAGAGGGTTTTCGAGAGATCTCTATGCCCTGGATTTTTTAAAATAATATCAGTCTAGATAAAACTTCAAAAAATGAAGTTGTGGTTAAGAGTTAAGAGGAAAGTCAGAGGGTTTTCGAGAGATCTCTATGCCCTGGATTTTTATAAATAATATCAGTCTAGATAAAACTTCAAAAAATGAAGTTGTGGTTAAGAGTTAAGAGGAAAGTCAGAGGGTTTTCGAGAGATCTCTATGCCCTGGATTTTTATAAATAATATCAGTCTAGATAAAACTTCAAAAAATGAAGTTGTGGTTAAGAGTTAAGAGGAAAGTCAGAGGGTTTTCGAGAGATCTCTATGCCCTGGATTTTTATAAATAATATCACAGTCTAGATAAAACTTCAAAAAATGAAGTTGTGGTTAAGAGTTAAGAGGAAAGTCAGAGGGTTTTCGAGAGATCTCTATGCCCTGGATTTTTATAAATAATATCAGTCTAGATAAAACTTCAAAAAATGAAGTTGTGGTTAAGAGTTAAGAGGAAAGTCAGAGGGTTTTCGAGAGATCTCTATGCCCTGGATTTTTATAAATAATATCAGTCTAGATAAAACTTCAAAAAATGAAGTTGTGGTTAAGAGTTAAGAGGAAAGTCAGAGGGTTTTCGAGAGATCTCTATGCCCTGGATTTTTATAAATAATATCAGTCTAGATAAAACTTCAAAAAATGAAGTTGTGGTTAAGAGTTAAGAGGAAAGTCAGAGGGTTTTCGAGAGATCTCTATGCCCTGGATTTTTATAAATAATATCAGTCTAGATAAAACTTCAAAAAATGAAGTTGTGGTTAAGAGTTAAGAGGAAAGTCAGAGGGTTTTCGAGAGATCTCTATGCCCTGGATTTTTATAAATAATATCACAGTCTAGATAAAACTTCAAAAAATGAAGTTGTGGTTAGGAGTTAAGAGGAAAGTCAGAGGGTTTTCGAGAGATCTCTATGCCCTGGATTTTTATAAATAATATCAGTCTAGATAAAACTTCAAAAAATGAAGTTGTGGTTAAGAGTTAAGAGGAAAGTCAGAGGGTTTTCGAGAGATCTCTATGCCCTGGATTTTTATAAATAATATCAGTCTAGATAAAACTTCAAAAAATGAAGTTGTGGTTAAGAGTTAAGAGGAAAGTCAGAGGGTTTTCGAGAGATCTCTATGCCCTGGATTTTTATAAATAATATCAGTCTAGATAAAACTTCAAAAAATGAAGTTGTGGTTAAGAGTTAAGAGGAAAGTCAGAGGGTTTTCGAGAGATCTCTATGCCCTGGATTTTTATAAATAATATCACAGTCTAGATAAAACTTCAAAAAATGAAGTTGTGGTTAAGAGTTAAGAGGAAAGTCAGAGGGTTTTCGAGAGATCTCTATGCCCTGGATTTTTATAAATCATATCACAGTCTAGATAAAACTTCAAAAAATGAAGTTGTGGTTAAGAGTTAAGAGGAAAGTCAGAGGGTTTTCGAGAGATCTCTATGCCCTGGATTTTTATAAATAATATCAGTCTAGATAAAACTTCAAAAAATGAAGTTGTGGTTAAGAGTTAAGAGGAAAGTCAGAGGGTTTTCGAGAGATCTCTATGCCCTGGATTTTTATAAATAATATCAGTCTAGATAAAACTTCAAAAAATGAAGTTGTGGTTAAGAGTTAAGAGGAAAGTCAGAGGGTTTTCGAGAGATCTCTATGCCCTGGATTTTTATAAATAATATCAGTCTAGATAAAACTTCAAAAAATGAAGTTGTGGTTAAGAGTTAAGAGGAAAGTCAGAGGGTTTTCAAGAGATCTCTATGCCCTGGATTTTTATAAATAATATCAGTCTAGATAAAACTTCAAAAAATGAAGTTGTGGTTAGGAGTTAAGAGGAAAGTCAGAGGGTTTTCAAGAGATCTCTAAGCCCTGGATTTTTATAAATAATATCAGTCTAGATAAAACTTCAAAAAATGAAGTTGTGGTTAGGAGTTAAGAGGAAAGTCAGAGGGTTTTCAAGAGATCTCTAAGCCCTGGATTTTTATAAATAATATCAGTCTAGATAAAACTTCAAAAAATGAAGTTGTGGTTAGGAGTTAAGAGGAAAGTCAGAGGGTTTTCAAGAGATCTCTAAGCCCTGGATTTTTATAAATAATATCAGTCTAGATAAAACTTCAAAAAATGAAGTTGTGGTTAGGAGTTAAGAGGAAAGTCAGAGGGTTTTCAAGAGATCTCTAAGCCCTGGATTTTTATAAATAATATCAGTCTAGATAAAACTTCAAAAAATGAAGTTGTGGTTAGGAGTTAAGAGGAAAGTCAGAGGGTTTTCAAGAGATCTCTAAGCCCTGGATTTTTATAAATAATATCAGTCTAGATAAAACTTCAAAAAATGAAGTTGTGGTTAAAAGTTAAGAGGAAAGTCAGAGAGTTTTCGAGAGATCTCTATGCCCTGGATTTTTATAAATAATATCAGTCTAGATAAAACTTCAAAAAATGAAGTTGTGGTTAAAAGTTAAGAGGATCGGATCGAATCGGTTCGAATCGACACGAATCGGTTCGAATCGGTTCGAATCGACTCGAATCGACTCGAATCGGTTCGAATCGACTCGAATCGGATCGAACCACCACCCTGAAGTAACTGTGAAGGCGAAAATCCGACTCGAATCGACTCGAATCGGTTCGAATCGGTTCGAATCGACTCGAATCGACTCGAATCGGATCGAATCGACTCGAATCGACTCGAATCGGTTCGAATCGGTTCGAATCGACTCGAATCGACTCGAATCGGTTCGAATCGACTCGAATCGGATCGAACCACCACCCTGAAGTAACTGTGAAGGCGAAAATCCGACTCGAATCGACTCGAATCGGTTCGAATCGGTTCGAATCGACTCGAATCGGTTCGAATCGGTTCGAATCGACTCGAATCGACTCGAATCGGTTCGAATCGACTCGAATCGGATCGAACCACCACCCTGAAGTAACTGTGAAGGCGAAAATCCGACTCGAATCGACTCGAATCGGTTCGAATCGGTTCGAATCGGTTCGAATCGACTCGAATCGACTCGAATCGGTTCGAATCGACTCGAATCGACTCGAATCGGTTCGAATCGACTCGAATCGGATCGAATCGGTTCGAATCGACTCGAATCGACTCGAATCGGTTCGAATCGACTCGAATCGACTCGAATCGGTTCGAATCGACTCGAATCGACTCGAATCGGTTCGAATCGACTCGAATCGACTCGAATCGGTTCGAATCGACTCGAATCGACTCGAATCGGATCGAATCGACTCGAATCGGAATTTTTCATTCCAGATTTTTATTAATAATTTAAAAAAAAATGGAGGGAAGGGAATCGAATCGACTCGAATCGGTTCGAATCGACTCGAATCGGATCGAATCGGTTCGAATCGACTCGAATCGACTCGAATCGGTTCGAATCGACTCGAATCGACTCGAATCGGTTCGAATCGACTCGAATTGACTCGAATCGGTTCGAATTGACTCGAATCGGATCGAATCGACTTCTCTTAAGTACGCGGAAAATTTCCGCGTACGCTACTCGGCTATCGCCTCGAAGCCTGCACCTAAGCCTTTACGAATCTTTCTGAAATTTTGAACACAGCCTAGTGGCACTGAATGAAAACTTTTCCGACCTCGAATTTGAAAAAATATAAATTTTGAACCAAGTTTTGAAAAATATGGGTGTCTCGAACAACTCAAGCGTTTTAATTCTAGGTCACATTTAGCCCCTAAGTCAAAATCAAAGTTTTGAGTTCTTGAAATTATCTAAAAATCAAAAAAAAATGGTTCAAAAATTATGAAGTCTAACCTGAGTTCTGATCAGTCAAAGTTTTTTCTCTTTTTCTGACCTTCCCAACAAAAATCCCTTCCCAAAATAAACTGACTTGAATTCGACCAAAAAATCCAATTTTTCCATCCAAGATCCCAATACTGTTGAATTTCTCGAGATCGACCAAAAAATCCAAGTTTTTCCATCCACGATCCCAATACTGTTGAATTTCTCGAGCAGATCTGAAAAATATGTTTTTTTTTAATTTCACACCAAAAAATCCACGTCACAGAATGATTTTTCATTGCCGAGACAAAAAAGCGAAACCCGCCACAAAAAACAGGAAAACAAAAATAAATGACTATTTTTCCTTACTTGTCTCGCACTCTCTCGCTCCCCCACTCTCTCTCGTGGTTGATGTTGCAATTGCGCTCCAATGCAATTTCTATTTATTTTTCTTTTTTTCGGTTTTGCTGGAAAATTTTCAAGTTTTCAGGCTGAATAAAACATTGAGTGGAATTTGATTATGAAATAGAAAAACACACAATTTTGATGGTTTTGGTCGTGTGAAAATTATGTGATTTCTGAGGAGTTTCAGGGTGAAATTGTGAAAATCTGGAATTTCAACAGAACCAGACAGGTGACACTTCCTAAAATCTAAGCTCAGGCTTGAACTGACATTAACCTAAGATCAAAAAGATTCAATTTTCCGGACGGAATTTTTTTTTTGAAAAATCTCGGACCGATTTTTTTTTTTGAAAAATCTCGGGCCGATTTTTTCTTTTGAAAAGTCTTGGGCCGATTTTTTTTTTGAAAAACCCGCCCGAATGAAAATTTTGATTTGGGCGGGTAGCTAACAAAAATTTAAATTTTCATTTTCGTGTATACAGTATACAGTCAACAAAAAAAGTTACAGATTTGGAATAATCCAAAAATGTAAAAATGAAGTCGATGAGTTGGGACCTAAATGACATTTCCTCTCAGGCTTAGGCTTAGTAAACCACCCAGAAGCAACTTTGAAGCTAAAAATTGAAAGAAAATTTTTAACACTGTTAAAAAAGGCTTGGGCTTAGATAGTAACCACCCAGAAGTAACTGTGAAGGCGAAAACCCCAATTTTTCATTCCAGATTTTTATTAAAAATTTAAAAAAAATGGAGGGAAGGGAATCGAATCGACTCGAATCGGTTCGAATCGACTCGAATCGACTCGAATCGACTCGAATCGGATCGAATCGGTTCGAATCGACTCGAATCGGTTCGAATCGACTCGAATCGGATCGAATCGGTTCGAATCGACTCGAATCGACTCGAATCGACTCGAATCGGATCGAATCGGTTCGAATCGACTCGAATCGGTTCGAATCGGTTCGAATCGACTCGAATCGACTCGAATCGGTTCGAATCGACTCGAATCGGATCGAACCACCACCCTGAAGTAACTGTGAAGGCGAAAATCCGACTCGAATCGACTCGAATCGGTTCGAATCGGTTCGAATCGACTCGAATCGACTCGAATCGGTTCGAATCGACTCGAATCGACTCGAATCGGATCGAATCGACTCGAATCGGTTCGAATCGGTTCGAATCGACTCGAATCGACTCGAATCGGTTCGAATCGACTCGAATCGGATCGAACCACCACCCTGAAGTAACTGTGAAGGCGAAAATCCGACTCGAATCGACTCGAATCGGTTCGAATCGGTTCGAATCGGTTCGAATCGACTCGAATCGACTCGAATCGGATCGAATCGACTCGAATCGACTCGAATCTTCAAAAAATGAAGTTGTGGTTAAGAGTTAAGAGGAAAGTCAGAGGGTTTTCGAGAGATCTCTATGCCCTGGATTTTTATAAATAATATCAGTCTAGATAAAACTTCAAAAAATGAAGTTGTGGTTAAGAGTTAAAGAAATAGACAACTTTTAAAACCGAGTTTCAGGCTGCCCCAATATTTTGATTTTGCTTACTTTTCTACACACTTTCCAACCAGAAATCATCGGAAATACGCTCGTTGAAAGAAATGGCGCGAGGTTGAAAAAAAATAATTCGAATTTGAACGCCCGCCGAGTTCTAGATAATCTAGTGCATTTTTGGGCGACGGTGTGTGTTTGAACGCGTGTTTGCAGACTTTTTTTTTACTTTTATTTTTTTTCGTTTTTTTTCGCGAAAAAATGAATTTTTGTGATGAATGTTGGTTTCCGACTATTGCAGCACATCAGGAATCATAGTATTTGATATTTCGGTGAGTTTTCATAAACTTTTCACAGTTTTCATGTTCATTTTCAGGGAAAACTCGACTATTTACAAGTTTCGAGGAATTTTCGATGGAAATGCACAATTCATGCCGATTTTGATGTTTGGTGAGTTTTTTGTCGAACTTTGAGGCTAGACGATAGTGACTCTAGGCCGAATCGAACAAATAACAACTGAAATTTATAGTTTTGTAACGATTCTGGCTGTGAGCCCATCAAATTTCAAATTTTTATTGAAAAATGAATCTTAAAGTGATTTAATTGTTGCTAATTTCAGAAAACAACGTCAATATTCGGTATTGATGAATGCGGAGGCTCAACAAAGTGATGATTCGCCAAAATAATCCTCGAATCCTGCGATTTTCAAGATTTCGCCACTTTTCGAAGTTTCAAAGCCTATTCAAACACTTCTTCGCTCAAATGTTCACTCAAATGTTATGTAAACTGTTTCTTTCAATAAATTTGCTAGATTTTTCCATGTTTCTGTCCGATTTCTTTATGTTTGTTGATTTCGCCAAAAACGAAAAATAAAAGTAAAACAACGAGACTCCGCGTGACACTGCGCTCACACAATCGCGGAAATTTTTTTATTTTCAAACAAGAGTTTTTTATTTTTTTATTTTGCTCCAAAAAAGGTTTAGAGTGGGTTTCGAAAGTTCTCTCTTTGCAGATGTGTTAAAAATAGTATGAAAAAAGTAATTTTGGGCTGCTTTGAACCGTAGCTTAAAAGTTGTCTATTTCTTTAAGAGGAAAGTCAGAGGGTTTTTGAGAGATCTCTATGCCCTGGATTTTTATAAATAATATCAGTCTAGATAAAACTTCAAAAAATGAAGTTGTGGTTAGGAGTTAAGAGGAAAGTCAGAGGGTTTTCGAGAGATCTCTATGCCCTGGATTTTTATAAATAATATCAGTTTAGATAAAACTTCAAAAATGAAGTTGTGGTTAGGAGTTAAGAGGAAAGTCAGAGGGTTTTCGAGAGATCTCTATGCCCTGGATTTTTATAAATAATATCAGTCTAGATAAAACTTCAAAAAATGAAGTTGTGGTTAGGAGTTAAGAGGAAAGTCAGAGGGTTTTCGAGAGATCTCTATGCCCTGGATATTTATAAATAATATCAGTCTAGATAAAACTTCAAAAAATGAAGTTGTGGTTAAGAGTTAAGAGGAAAGTCAGAGGGTTTTCGAGAGATCTCTATGCCCTGGATTTTTATAAATAATATCAGTCTAGATAAAACTTCAAAAAATGAAGTTGTGGTTAAGAGTTAAGAGGAAAGTCAGAGGGTTTTCAAGAGATCTCTATGCCCTGGATTTTTATAAATAATATCAGTCTAGATAAAACTTCAAAAAATGAAGTTGTGGTTAAGAGTTAAGAGGAAAGTCAGAGGGTTTTCGAGAGATCTCTATGCCCTGGATTTTTTAAAATCATATCACAGTCTAGATAAAACTTCAAAAAATGAAGTTGTGTTTAGGAATTAAGAGGAGAGTCGAAGGGTTTTCGAGAGATCTCTAAGCCCTGGATTTTTTAAAATCATATCACAGTCTAGATAAAACTTCAAAAAATGAAGTTGTGTTTAGGAATTAAGAGGAGAGTCAGAGGGTTTTCGAGAGATCTCTATGCCCTGGATTTTTTAAAATAATATCTCAGTCTAGATAAAACTTCAAAAAATGAAGTTGTGGTTAGGAATTAAGAGGAAAGTCAGAGGGTTTTCGAGAGATCTCTATGCCCTGGATTTTTTAAAATCATATCTCAGTCTAGATAAAACTTCAAAAAATGAAGTTGTGTTTAGGAATTAAGAGGAGAGTCAAAGGGTTTTCGAGAGGTCTCTATGCCCTGGATTTTTTAAAATCATATCTCAGTCTAGATAAAACTTCAAAAAATGAAGTTGTGTTTAGGAATTAAGAGGAAAGTCAGAGGGTTTTCGAGAGATCTCTAAGCCCTGGATTTTTATAAATAATATCAGTCTAGATAAAACTTCAAAAAATGAAGTTGTGGTTAAGAGTTAAGAGGAAAGTCAGAGGGTTTTCGAGAGATCTCTATGCCCTGGATTTTTTAAAATCATATCACAGTCTAGATAAAACTTCAAAAAATGAAGTTGTGGTTAAGAGTTAAGAGGAAAGTCAGAGAGTTTTCGAGAGATCTCTATGCCCTGGATTTTTATAAATAATATCAGTCTAGATAAAACTTCAAAAAATGAAGTTGTGGTTAGGAGTTAAGAGGAAAGTCAGAGGGTTTTCGAGAGATCTCTATGCCCTGGATTTTTATAAATAATATCAGTCTAGATAAAACTTCAAAAAATGAAGTTGTGGTTAGGAGTTAAGAGGAAAGTCAGAGGGTTTTCGAGAGATCTCTATGCCCTGGATTTTTATAAATAATATCACAGTCTAGATAAAACTTCAAAAAATGAAGTTGTGGTTAAGAGTTAAGAGGAAAGTCAGAGGGTTTTCGAGAGATCTCTATGCCCTGGATTTTTATAAATAATATCAGTCTAGATAAAACTTCAAAAAATGAAGTTGTGGTTAGGAGTTAAGAGGAAAGTCAGAGGGTTTTCAAGAGATCTCTATGCCCTGGATTTTTATAAATAATATCAGTCTAGATAAAACTTCAAAAAATGAAGTTGTGGTTAGGAGTTAAGAGGAAAGTCAGAGGGTTTTCGAGAGATCTCTATGCCCTGGATTTTTATAAATAATATCAGTCTAGATAAAACTTCAAAAAATGAAGTTGTGGTTAAGAGTTAAGAGGAAAGTCAGAGGGTTTTCGAGAGATCTCTATGCCCTGGATTTTTATAAATAATATCAGTCTAGATAAAACTTCAAAAAATGAAGTTGTGGTTAGGAATTAAGAGGAAAGTCAGAGGGTTTTCGAGAGATCTCTATGCCCTGGATTTTTTAAAATCATATCACAGTCTAGATAAAACTTCAAAAAATGAAGTTGTGGTTAAGAGTTAAGAGGAAAGTCAGAGGGTTTTCGAGAGATCTCTATGCCCTGGATTTTTATAAATAATATCAGTCTAGATAAAACTTCAAAAAATGAAGTTGTGGTTAAGAGTTAAGAGGAAAGTCAGAGGGTTTTCAAGAGATCTCTATGCCCTGGATTTTTATAAATAATATCAGTCTAGATAAAACTTCAAAAAATGAAGTTGTGGTTAGGAGTTAAGAGGAAAGTCAGAGGGTTTTCGAGAGATCTCTATGCCCTGGATTTTTATAAATAATATCAGTCTAGATAAAACTTCAAAAAATGAAGTTGTGGTTAAGAGTTAAGAGGAAAGTCAGAGGGTTTTCGAGAGATCTCTATGCCCTGGATTTTTATAAATAATATCAGTCTAGATAAAACTTCAAAAAATGAAGTTGTGGTTAGGAGTTAAGAGGAAAGTCAGAGGGTTTTCGAGAGATCTCTATGCCCTGGATTTTTATAAATAATATCAGTCTAGATAAAACTTCAAAAAATGAAGTTGTGGTTAAGAGTTAAGAGGAAAGTCAGAGGGTTTTCAAGAGATCTCTATGCCCTGGATTTTTATAAATAATATCAGTCTAGATAAAACTTCAAAAAATGAAGTTGTGGTTAAGAGTTAAGAGGAAAGTCAGAGAGTTTTCGAGAGATCTCTATGCCCTGGATTTTTATAAATAATATCAGTCTAGATAAAACTTCAAAAAATGAAGTTGTGGTTAAAAGTTAAGAGGAAAGTCAGAGGGTTTTCAAGAGATCTCTAAGCCCTGGATTTTTATAAATAATATCAGTCTAGATAAAACTTCAAAAAATGAAGTTGTGGTTAAGAGTTAAGAGGAAAGTCAGAGAGTTTTCGAGAGATCTCTATGCCCTGGATTTTTATAAATAATATCAGTCTAGATAAAACTTCAAAAAATGAAGTTGTGGTTAAGAGTTAAGAGGAAAGTCAGAGGGTTTTCGAGAGATCTCTATGCCCTGGATTTTTATAAATAATATCAGTCTAGATAAAACTTCAAAAAATGAAGTTGTGGTTAAGAGTTAAGAGGAAAGTCAGAGGGTTTTCGAGAGATCTCTATGCCCTGGATTTTTATAAATAATATCAGTCTAGATAAAACTTCAAAAAATGAAGTTGTGGTTAAGAGTTAAGAGGAAAGTCAGAGGGTTTTCGAGAGATCTCTATGCCCTGGATTTTTATAAATAATATCAGTCTAGATAAAACTTCAAAAAATGAAGTTGTGGTTAAGAGTTAAGAGGAAAGTCAGAGGGTTTTCGAGAGATCTCTATGCCCTGGATTTTTATAAATAATATCAGTCTAGATAAAACTTCAAAAAATGAAGTTGTGGTTAAGAGTTAAGAGGAAAGTCAGAGGGTTTTCGAGAGATCTCTATGCCCTGGATTTTTATAAATAATATCAGTCTAGATAAAACTTCAAAAAATGAAGTTGTGGTTAAGAGTTAAGAGGAAAGTCAGAGGGTTTTCGAGAGATCTCTATGCCCTGGATTTTTATAAATAATATCAGTCTAGATAAAACTTCAAAAAATGAAGTTGTGGTTAGGAGTTAAGAGGAAAGTCAGAGGGTTTTCGAGAGATCTCTATGCCCTGGATTTTTATAAATAATATCAGTCTAGATAAAACTTCAAAAAATGAAGTTGTGGTTAAGAGTTAAGAGGAAAGTCAGAGAGTTTTCGAGAGATCTCTATGCCCTGGATTTTTATAAATAATATCAGTCTAGATAAAACTTCAAAAAATGAAGTTGTGGTTAAGAGTTAAGAGGAAAGTCAGAGGGTTTTCGAGAGATCTCT